ATTTGGAAAAATAGTGAGTCCTACATAAATAAGAGTTATGACAACAGTGGTTTAAAAGCCTTTGATTTTGAGTTGGCAGCACAGTAATACAGTGGTTAGCACTGTCACTTCACAGCAAAAAGGTTCTGGGTCTGTTCAAACCTGGTTCTGGCGACCTGTCCATGGTGTGCCCCGCCCTCGCGGATAAGTGGTATAGATAATGGAATGGATAGATGGATGATTTTGAGTTGCTTCGGACAGCTTCTGGGTTCGTGTTGTTCAGTGCACAAGGTGTTTACAGGGATTAAAAAAATCATAAAATAAAGAGTAATAATTTACATTGTTTGGAGTTGTGGTGTTACTGATGTTGTGGGAACTTAACTGTAACTTCTATTAAAAAATGAAGCAGGACTCCTCGATGTCGTTCCAGGGTTTTACTTACGAAAACATGCATTTACGATACATCACATCGGTTACTAACTGCTCGGGAAGATCTGTTGTTTAACGTTGTTTCAACTGAACCACTTTCTTCTCCTGGGTTTTTACTCTGACCTGTTGTAAACTGCCATGTAAACGAATGAAGCGCCACCTTGTGGTCTCATACTGTAACATACCACATATCATATAACTGAATCCTGTATATATTTAATCTTACTTTTAACTGTATTTTTAATACCATTTGAACATTAATCATGAAATATAATTAATGAGTAAATAAAGAACACTTTCTCAATAATAATAATAAACTTGGATTTCTGAATAATAATAATGAACTGAATTAAGGATACAACAGATGTCTCTTTTATAATGGCAATCTATGGGTAAAATGCACTCTTTCCTTACAGCACTGCAAGTGGCCAGTGAGACAAACTGGAAACAGGGTGGAGTGGTGGGGCTGTATCCCACTCTCATATCCATGGGTTTCACACATCAAGCAAACTATCTGATAAGTTCTGGGGTCTCAAATAGTCTGTAAACTAGATTTTAAACAACAGCACTGCAAGCAGAGCCCCTCTGGAGGGCGAGCAAGAGGCCGGCAAGCAGGAGGCCGGCGTCACAGACGGAGCCCCTTTTGAGGCCGACCAGGAGGCGGCCAAACCAACTGGGGAATAGGAGCAGAAGGTGGCTGACCACCGACAGGACACAAGGGGCAGTAGGCGGCCGGACCGCCGTCAGGACACGAAGGGCAGGAGGTGGATGGACCACCGAAAGGACACGAGGAGCAGGAGTCGGCCGGACCTCTGACTGGGAACCAGAATCAGCAGTCAGCTGGGCTGCCGATGGTACACAAGGAGCAGATAAGACGTTGCCCAGAACCACCAACTCAGGAACAAAGGAGGAGTCGACCAGGACCCCCGATACTGAAACTGTAATGATTGATTTTGTAAATTATTTCTAAATTCCTGAAATGTAAAACAAATAATATCAAAAATTATGAAGGTAATGTTTTATTTCAAATCAGAGTAAATGGCTGCTCTATATGACACTATGGTACCTGGCAGTGTTGTGAATAAGTATTATCCCCTTTATACTTGTCTTGTCTAGATGTTGCTGTTCTCACATTAATATTGTTATGTAGTATATGTTATATACACACACTGAGCACTTTATTAGGAACACCTGCAACTATCCAATCAGCCGATCACGTGGCACCAATGCAGAGTATAAAATCCTACAGATCCAGGTGAGGAGCTTCAGTTAATTTTCACATCAAACATTAGAATGAGGAAAAAATTAACCGTTTCAGACAATTGGAGACCTGTTTATTATTGTTGTGTCATAGAGGTCATTTATTGGCTGAAAACATGCCCCCTCTGACAAAATTTTTCAAACACAGTGATGTGTCCTGCTGGGGTAGCAACAACAATGACAACTGAGAACACCAGAATCTGATTTGAAAGCCTGCGCATAAGACTGATTATAATTTTGTGACTCTGAACAGTTTTTTCTGTTTAAATCTGGATTGTGTTGAATAAAGAGTTCTCCAATTGTCTGAAAGGGTTATCTATATGGTCGATCAAAGTGCTCTCCAATTTCCTGAATTGACCGTTTATATTGTCACACTGTGGCTAAGCGGCTACGCTCTGGTGACCCTGAAGTTGTGTGCCCACTATATTACTTAGCCCTAAACATAGGCCATAAAGAGCACTTAAATCAGGCAACTCTTCTGAGTTTTTGAACTCTAGCTGATCATGTAGGGTGTCTGATAAGCTGTAAGTGGTCCACCGGTGTACTGGCTCTATTATTCAACCAGACATCATTCTGAATAAATGATTGGACATTACCCAGTTGTTGTTGTTCAAACTCATTGAAATGGTCTGCAGACAATGTCTCCAACTCCACATGCGTCCATGTTGCCCTGTCCAGCTCCCTTTGAAGGCTTCAACAGCTTGAGCTGTCTCGTCTACCGCCTTGCCAGGGGATACAGTAGCCAAATCCTTTACTGGTGCTAATAACACGTAACATGCCTCTCTCAGACCTATGAAAACTTTTTTTTTTTTTTTTTTAAATCACCCATTAATACAAAAAAAAAAAAAAGCCAAAAAAGCACATCATGGCGTTGAAAAATGGTTAAATCTAAAAAACAGCTGATTTTATACAGTCTTACACACACTAGGTGGGGGTGAGGTAGTGACGTAAACCAATTAACCATTAAACCGATAAAAAACAGAAAAAAAATCTCCATAAATCTGAAAAAATACACCTTCACACAAACAAACATCAGCTAACACACTATCCCTTTATTTTTCCTCCTACACCACATCCTATGCAGAACACAAAAAAGAGAAAAAACAGCAGAAAATAGCTACAGTATTTCATTAAACTATAATCAAACAATTAACAGGGGAAAAAAACCTGATGTACACAGGACGATAGGTTTACGGCTTATCGGCCTGTGGCCAGGTTTACGGGAGGAGTCAATGTCGGGGGTGTGGACGAGGATACCACATGCACGTGCAGTTCACATGCACGTGCAGTTCACATGCATGCGCACATGTGCCATACTATGACAACTGTCAGCACTGCAACACCTAGTGCAATCCTGCCAACCTGTACACATTTTGACATAAAATGATGCTGGTACGATTGATGCAGTAAAATGAACAAAAAATGGTGAGTCTAGTGAATTAAATTGTGCACTTGTACTCAAGTCTAACAGCAGGATGCAGCAGTGTCTAGTAAGAGAAGAAGATGAGCTCGACCAATCATTGTGCTAGGTTCAGTCCTCCAAATATCAAGCGGGGATGACTGATAAATGTCAGTCATTTCAGCACAGCAACAGAGACAGATATGTCCTCACTCTGACTGGCCTCCTGCTCAGGTGAGGGTGGGGCTTTAATTCCTCTGCACAGGTAAACGGGCTGCAGTGGATGTTGAGAGTTGACTGTGAACTGAGTTAAGTCAATGCAGACCTGACAAACCTGTCAAACTATTTAACTTTGATATTGTTAGCCTAATGTTACCTTATTTATAAGCTAGCTAGCTACCAAGAGCCAAGGATATAGTTAAAATGCCTTTATTGTGTTGGGGCAAAGGTAAAATATAAAACAAAAAATCCTTAAAAAGGGAGTAAAACGCCAACCGGTTACGACCGCCACAGTGTCTTCCTCAAGGTGTTGTTGGAAAGGGAAGTAAAGTATTTTTCTTTGTATAACTTTTAGTTATAATGTCCGTGTGTTGCAGACTTAAATGTGAGTTTTCATGGAACTGTGCCACACAAAATAACATTACCTGGGAAGATACCAGGAAGTGTACATGCATGCAGGAGAGATTGACTGTGTTTTACATCACAAGTTTCTCTACCTGGAAATGAAAACATACAGTATGTTACAATAGCCTATACAAAATAAATGATGTCAAATTTTATTAAATAATTGAAATTATCTTATCTTTATCAGTTTGTGTAAGCACACCTATCCTCCACCTATATATATGAATCATGAAAACTATAGTTTTAAGCTGCTGTACTGAAACTTTTCCTTTGCTTTTACTATATATATATTATATAATATCCCAGTGTAAGTCATATTTTAGAGAACATGGTCAAAGCTCCAAAACTTGAGGTTAATGTCTGTAAACCTGTTCCCTGCAAGTCAGAAACCAGGGTTCAGCTTCCTGAGCTCATGTCACATTGTTCACACATGCCCAAACTGCTTACTGTAAATGTAAATATGTCCCTAAATTAGAATTCTTCTCCAGAGTATATGATTTTATTGTTTTCTTTATATGTTGATTCATATGTTGAATAACTTGATACATTGGTGAGTGGGGATAACTGTGTACAAAGCGAAGTCGTGTGGAAGAATGTCCACTAAGCTTTACATTATTATGGTACTCAAAATATTTTCAAAAAGTTGGCTGGTCTGCAAGTGCATGATGGGATCAAGAGGAGTGGGTGTTTGAATACAGTCTGAGAACAGAATATTGAGCACACATTGCTGACATATATAAATAAAACAAAAATGCATGTGGAGGAATGAAAGGAATGTTTGATATCTAAAGATAACAGATTCTATTGGACTTTAACTATGGACACCATTAATTATGTTGGGATAATGAGGTAGTGAAGTTGAGAACACCAGAACGGTTTATTTTCTGGAATTAAGAGGATAATTAAGTTGTGCTAACAGGCAGACACTTGATGCTCAGGCTCCAGTCAGCAGTGATCGCCACCACCTGCTGAGGTCTGATTTAACCGACACACTACACCCAGTCCGCTTTTGTGTTGTACAGTTTGCTCATTTAAGCTGGAAGTCAGTATCAAGTAACAGAGACCTGACAGGAGAATGTGTGTGGGATGTGTGGGTGTAGGGGTGGGTCAGTCAGTGAGTCTGTGCGTGGGTGGGGGCTTCGGTATGGGTCCCCTCTCACCCTTGGGCCCCGAGAAGCTCTATGTGAACGTTCTCGGGGTTGTTGTGCAGGCTCCCCCTCCTGACGTCACGTCTGGAGGCTGGCTGCTCGTGCTGCTGACACCGTTCACCTCCAACAGAGAAACTTTCCTGGAGTTCTCAGGCTCCTCTGACTGCGGACCAAGGCAATTACGACCCGGAGAAGCCGCAGCGGCTCGGAGACTCTGCAGGCTACAGGAAGACAGAGAACGGGGCTGGGGAGCATTTTTACGTGACGTGACCTATTTCATTTGAAACTTTTCAAAGTGAAGCCTGTTTTTTCTCTGGGTAACGCTCGCTGATTTGGTGTGTTCCCACACCGGGCTGGAGGTCGGTACCAACAGGAATATGCTCAGGAATACACCAGTTTTTGTTACTCTGAAGAAGTGAAAGGGTTTTTTTTACGGATCCGAATTTAAGCTGGACCCCCCTCCCAAACTTTTCTTGGTATTCGGTGTCGATATGGCTTGGATTAAATTGGGCCTTTTATTTTCGTTCGGTGTGTTTCTCTCCCCGGTGTGTGTGTCAGCGGAGCAGCAGCAGGGCCACAGCGGCTTCAGGAGGCTGTACGTGCTCCAGCCGGGGCCGTCGTCGGGTTCGGCCGGTGCGGACGGCGGGGTGCGGGTCAGCTCCATCTCGACGCACCGCGGCGCGGCTGGGCAGCCGCACACGTACAACGTGGAGCTCACCGCCAACTTCGGCGGCCAGGTCCGGACCCGCAGGATGGGGAACCAAGCGGCTTCGGTGCCAGTGTTCAGTCAACAGCAACAGCAGGTCGTCCGGCAGAGCGGAGCGGAGCAGAGCCAGCAGAAGCAGCTCCTGAAGCTGTCCGGGTAAGAGAGTCTGGATGAGTGTCAGGACTGAGGAATGTGAGCTGGTGGGGAAATGAGAATGAACTTAATGACTTCCTGTCAGCTTTTATCACAAACCTACAGGCACCAGGCAGGTCCACTGTGTGAAAAGTGTCCGAAAAGTACACTGGACCCAGGTGTATTGTAGACTAGACTGCACCCTCACCTTAAAGTGGGTTAAACCGTGCTGGGCTGGTCTCTCTCAGAGGAGACTACTCAAGCACACAAAATGTTCCAGTGTAACAGGGGCTTTCTTCACTGACAAGGATGATTTAAGGTTTTTTGCTCACTCATTGGGCTGCTCGACCTGTTGGTGCTAGTTTAAATGAATGCTGATGATATTGTCTAATAGTATTCACCAGATGCAGTTCATTCTGAATTCAAAGACGCAGTCAGACTAAAAGAGCGATTAACTGTTTTCTGGGGCCAGTTTCACAAAGACATATCAGACTGGTCTGTAGTGTTGGTCCAGTCTTAGTTTTGCACATAATGTTAGTCAGTCTGTTTCACAAAAATAAAGACCGACTCATCTTAAGAAAAAAACATTAGGCTAAATCAGGTCAACACTAATGTTACCATGGTAACAATAAATGACACCTGCTGACCAGTAGCACCCAACAACAGAAAACAGGAAAACATGGCTTTTTGCTTTATTAACATTGTTCTGGAGAGAGCAAAGAGAAGATAAAGAGTTTTTAGAGACTGTGGCCATTTTTTTCAAATCAGATTTTCTTTTTATTGTTTCACTCATCATACACTGTTGAATTCTTCCAGTAGACAAACATTTTCTGCTGGGGTAATTTACCCAGAATTCAGTCCATCTTAAGATTGTCAAGAGTTGCTTTGTCCAACAGATGAATTGAGACTCGGTCCATCGGAAGTCTGACTATTTGTTAAATCTTAGCCACAGGCAGTCTGTCTTTGTGAAACTGGCCCCAGGTCCTGCACACCCTTTGTAGACCCACACAGGTGCTTTCACTTACTCGGCCTAATTGGACCTCTCCTGTTGACTGTGTGTGTGGGTACAGACAGTTGTTCGTTGACCTGTCCCTGACTCTACTATTATTTTTGTGCCTCCAAGTGATCAGATCTGATATATTTCATGGAACTGTGAACAATCCAAAACAGATTGTTTTCATTTCAGGTCTGGGGCACTTGCACATGTGGTCCTGGATCTGATTCATGTTGCTGTCTGAATGGTCAGATAAGAAATTTATTTATTTATTTATTTATTTTTTTAACGTGCATATCATCTGTTGTCACCAGTAGGTGTTGGCACCTCACAGCCAAGTAAAAATACGCATTGAGGAGAGCAGCTTTTCCTCTGCAAAAAATAATCCTGGACATGTGTGCTAGCACAGCCATGTCATCCATGTTTATGATTTTACTATGGCACACATGAGGTATTGTTATTCTTGTATGGAAGTGGCTCACATTCCAGTTAAATCTGTGCATGCATGGTAGTTTGGGACCTAAATGAACAGCTGTTTATTTACCAGTCTAGAAGAAATATTGAGAGTTCAGCATCAAACTAGAGCTGTCTCCAGAGGTGGAAAGCAATGCCAATGTTGATCCTTGTTTGCTTCTATTTGTATCTCTGCACCTTGCCACTGAATGTGGTTCTTGCTGGAAGTGGTTGTTGTCAGTGATGTTGTGTTTACTGTTCAGCACCTTCAGCATGATTGATAAGAGGTTAGAATACGCCCTCTGGGCAGCGCTATGTCTTCATCCTCCCACATGTGCAAACCACAGACTTTAAATAAAGATGGACGTAGCCTCCGTGACGTCACCCACAGGTTTCTGAAGAGCGGTTTTGAAGCTGAGAGTGAGCAGCTCCACTGTCGCCATCTTGGCAGTGTCTATCTCCCAGCTAATCCAAAAATAGACAAAGAGTATGTGGAGATGAGACTTCAGTTCATGCTGGTTTTTGGCGAATATGCTCATCCACCTGTCACTCAAAGAGGCCACACCCTCTTTTGTGTATAACTTTAAGCCTTTATAAAATGTAAACTTGTGAGTTATATAAACAGTTGTCATGAAGGAGGAAATTAGCTACAGAGGCCAAAGCTGTACACATGTTTATTTCTGCTGTAAAGTTGGACATTTTAACATGGGAGTCTATGGGGACTGACTCACTGTTGGAGCCAGACTCTAGTGGTCATTAGAGGAACTGCAGGTTTTGGTTTTTCAGTGTTGGCTCCCTGAGGTTGATACTTGATGCTCGCCTTTTGGGGTATAAAGTGGTATGGACCAGGGCTAGCTGGTTAGCATGCTAACTTCAGTAGCTACAGTATCTGTGCAACACAATACAGACATCTTTGACATAACCTCAGAACTTTCTTCACATTCTGTTGATAATTTTAGTTCATTTTTGAACGTTTTAAGTTAAAATACTTAAGTATAGCACCTTTAAAAGGCCTTGTTCTATTTGACCTGTCATAATAGGATAAGTACAGGGGCTCCTAATATCATTAACAATGGCTCTATTCTAAACTATGACAGCATGATTTTGCTAGGTCCCATATAGTATAAAGGTAGATGTCCATGTGTTGTTTAATTATAAGGCAGGTCTGGGTACTATATTAATACTGTGAAAGTATCAAAGCCTCAGTCAACAGAGAAATGCACACAGCCTGTATTCAGAAACTGAGCCTTAAAACCAGCCGTCAGGACTTCTGGAACTTTGTGATGTCACAGCAAAGTGGTCACTGCTCTCCAGCATTGCCCATCGCAGGATTTGGTTTCTCCAAGCGTTTAACTGAAATCTGCTTGTCATCCACTCACCATATCACAGGTACCCACTTTCCTAATGTCCCTGATGGTCTTGGATTCTGCAATCATGCAGAATACCCAAATGTCTTGAATGTTTCAACCTAATTCAAATAGTCAGCTACACACTACATATCTTTTTAATTTGCTGACCAGTGGCTGAAGCAGCTGATTTTACAGCATTTTGTCAAAGATGTTTTAGACAGCTCAGCCCAGTTATTTGACTGGTTTGTTAGCAGGTGCGACCAACTGGGAAACTGGGAAGGGAAAGCAACTTGTAGTGTTACTCTACAGGTCAGCAGGCTGTGTGTGGTCCAGCAGCTTGGCTTCAGCTGCTCAGTCTGTGGCCGGTCTTAACGTTTTGATGTGTGATTAGTGAGTACAGTCTGGCTGTGAACTGTTCTTATCATAATCATTACTAGGTTACACAGGCTGGAAGGATCAGGTGGTGTGTGTATACGTGTTTTTGTGTATACACAACTTGTTTTGAAGTCAGATTGTTGAAAAATGGGGCCTATTACAAAAGTATTCTTTTTTTTTTTTTTTTTTTTTTTACTCCAGTTTCACTTTGTAAAGAGTTGCCATATACAACAGAGGCTGCAGTTTTTCTCATGTAACACTGGCAGAGTTACTTTGTGTTTTATGGCTCCCTTGACTTTTCCTTGATGCATGTTGTGTGTCACAGCTGAATGTGTGGTACTTAGATATGAGAAGTGGTCAACTCATAAATGCAGCGCTGTTTCACAGCTGACTGTGAAGTGAAGTGTTTCTCACCAGGATATGAACAACCCTCCCCCATCCAGTTGGTCCAACCCCCACAAGTAAGTCTCCAAACTGTGGGAAACACTGTAGTGTTCACTCACATAACTTCATTCAGACTTAGACTGTGACGCAGATCAAATGGGTCAGTGAATATCAGCTGATCCTTCACACCCCTGTTCTCAGCTTCAGTGATGAGGGCCTGTGTTTATCACTTAGGAGTGCTCAAAAGTACCAACTTCAGAATAAAATACAGCGGCAATAATCGCAAAGTTTGACATTTTTAGAGCAATAGATCAGATGAATTTTGACTCTAGGTCAAGCTGTTAAGAAATAATCGTGAAAATGTAAAATTGATTGTTTCATCACCACCTTGAGGTCAATGAGTGTCAATTTTTGTGCCTGAGTAGTGGGTGGAATTTGGCAACATGCTGATTTAGAATTTTTTCAATTTTGCTCTTACGGTTTTTGCTGCAAAAAAAATGCTTTTGTGGATGTAGCGTATAGACTGGCGACCTTTCCAGGGAGTACCCAGGATTGGCTCCAGCCACCCCGTGACCCTATAAGGAAAAGCAGTATAGCTAATGGATGGATTTTTTGAATGCATAAGTGCATTCACATTGACAAGTATGGCAACATGCAGTGCACTGCAAGTACCTGGATGGTTCACTCAACACTGGAACATTGGACACTTCTCACCCTCAGTGGTCGCCATCTGGGCTACGTAGTGGAAGGGGAGAGACAACTAACGTATTTCCATAGAACTTTGAGTATTAACCATCTGACTATGGACCAAGGAAGTGGTGTATGATGACATGTTGCCCTTTAGGGCTTTATGAACAAAAAAAAACAATGTTCATCACGTCTTAGTGTTGGAGATGCCCATCCAACCTTTTCATACTAGGTGCAATGATGGATAGAATAACTGTGAACTTAGTCTAGGGGTTTGAGAGTGGAGGCAGATGCGTGTCTATAGTTGGGTTGTCACAATACTAGAATTTCAAACTCGATACAATACCCAGGAAAAATACTCGATACTGGATACCATTTTCAATACCACAGGGAGAACAAATGACCCTAACCCTTTTTTTAATTAAGATTAGAACAATACATACTATAACAAAAATTGACCATTTTTAAGTTGTCTGAGGTAGTGCAAATATATATATGACATGCAAATATATTCAGCTACAGCCCTGTTTATTTTCCGTGCTTCTGGTGACTTGGCACCATATTTTCTTTGCTGATCAAATAGAGTTGGTAGGGTAGGCTGCCGTTGTATAGTTGTTTGTCAACTTTTCTCAGCTTCAATCTGGGACTTAAAGAGAAATATATTACTTTTCAGACACAAATAACTGTGTCATCCTGTTAATTAAACACTGTCTATTAACGTTACAGATGGGCAGGACTTTCCCTATGAAGCCTCTCAATACTCCTACACAATGATGTCAATT